CCCATCCTGAGCCACCCTCATTTAACAGGTCTTTACTCACTGCTACTAGAAAATGTCAATGCGTATGTGCTTATGTATTCATCCATTTGCTCAATGCATTTAGTATAAACACAAGTGAGCTGTTCTACGAACTGTAGAAGCTGCTTAAAACCCTGGAACCGGGATATACTCTGCGTGTCAGCAAGTTAAGCGTCGTTAACCTGTTACGAAATTATATTTCCTAGTTGTTTGATTGGGCCATTGGATCATGGAAGCAATTATTTCCTTATTTTCTTGTAACCGTTGATCTCCTTAACAGAAATATTAATATGAATATGAATATATTTTGTTTATTGTGATTTGTTCTTCTATTATAGTTGTTGTTATTGATAATATGAAATACTGTTATTAATTATTGATTATTATTATATTATTATTATTATTATTATTATTATTATTATCATTATTATTATTATTCACTTTTATTATCTTATATCTTCCCTCATCGTTATCCTTATGGCTTTTACTGTTGTTTCATTATTGTTGCTTTGCAACTGTTATTACTTTTTTCAGTTCCTCCGGCTCACTCTTCTTAGTCAAGAATTCTTTGCGATCTAGGATTTCATAATAAGAAAGCTACCTTTGGGAAGACCAAAGCAAATGTTTTGACAATGAGAATAAATTGTAGCCGTGAGACCCTTTCACAATGCAGACGTGTTGTTTCTCCCGGCAGACAATGGTAGTGCTCTCAGTGTACACGACGGGCCGTGACGCCGCACACTTTCCCAACCCTGACTCCTTCTGCCCGGAGCGATGGCTACGCAACCTCTCCTTCAGCGCGTGCCCTGCTAAAGGCGCCTCGAGACTCCCCAGCGCCCCCAGCGGACGACTTCATTCCCACGCCTTCATCCCCTTCGGCGTGGGTGCGCGGTCGTGTGTCGGGCGTCGCGTGGCTGAGACGCAGCTCCATCTCCTGCTGGCGAAGCTCGTGTCTCGATGCCACCTGACGGCCTTGAATGATGTGGACTTGGTCCTACGTATGGTTGGCGTGACGTCAGAGCCTCTGAAGTTGCGAATCGATCCTATTGATCGGCCTTGCGGCTGAAATGAGTTTTCAGGGCACCGTGTAACCTTTTGTTAAGAAAAGGCCAAACTGCATCCTTTTCCTCCCGACCGAATTGTTGTATGAAACCATTGCTTAAGCAGCGCCGCCCATGACGAGGCTGCCGCAGAGGATTGGACCGGCACGGGGGTTCCCCTCAGGTCGTTTCATCTGTTGGACAAACACCCTCATGCTTACATTTCTTTCCCACCCCACAAACATTGGCATGGATGCATATTATATATATGTGTGTGTATGTGGTTGTGTATTGTATGTATGTATATGTATATGTTAATATATATATATATATATATATATATATATATATATATTATATATATATATATGTATGTATATGTATTATGTGTATGTGTATATAATAGATATATATATAATATATATATATATATATATATATATATATATATATATATTATAGTATATATATAAATATACATATATTATGTTATATATATAAACATACACGTTATTTTATATGATTGTTGCTAAAGCTTCTTCTAAGTTAAAAATATAAAACAGGAACCAAGGGATTATGAAACGCAAAACCGAGTTTCAAGTCCTTTTATGTCATTAACACGAAGGACAGCGGAGACCAGCGCCCACACGTAAGGAGACGAAGCCATCACGTCTGGATGAGGCTCCGCCCGCGCTTCAGCCGCAGCACCAGCAGCCGCCCAGCGTGCCCACCACGCCCGCCACGGCCACCGCCACCATCACCATCAGCAGCTTACCTGCGAATACGGCGCCGCGGATTGTGAACATCAGCCTCCGGCCTTTGCCAAACACTCTCCGTAGAGGCCTCACATGCCTAACAGACTACAGCGGCATCAGACATTGTATGTGTCCGTGTGGGTACACACACACACACACACATATATACTGTATATATATGTGTGTGTGTGTGGTAAATATGTGTGTATATATATGTTATATATATATATTAATATATATATATATAGTATATTATATATGTATATATATATATATACAAATATATATATAATATATAATGACATAATATATAGTTATATATATATATATATATATATATTATATATATAATGTTTTATATGTATATGTTGAATATATATGTATGTATTATATATATATATAGTATATATATATATAATATATATAATATATATATAAATATATATATATATATATATATATGTTTATAATGTATATGCTATGTATATATGTATGTATACTATATATATAATATATAATATAATATATATATATAATTAATGTATGTATATCATTATATGCATATGATTAATATAACATATATTAATATATATAATATATACATATATTAATATATAGTATACATAATATATGTTACATATAATATATATAATGTATGTACATATATAGTTAATAGTATATATATGT